TTAAGAACAAGCACTCAACAGTGTTGTCTGCAAGTATGAATGGTACCAGCCTTCTTGGCATAGTGTCTCGAGTGCTTGACAAGTGAGGATGTTTTGCTTTTCATACAAGAGGCTTTTAAGCAACTGACAGAGCCCGATGTGGGGGTTGTGTAGTGGTGTGAGGTGTGAAACCTCTGTAAGATGTAGCCCCACCCACCATCATAAGGCAAGGTGAGAATGGGGGATTGAAGACTGCTGACTCAAGGTGGCTGGTAGCTGGTGCTGTAAGCCATCACCTCTGTTCAACAATGGTCGATCACAGCGGATGTAGATGGCCTCCTTTACTCCTTCCAAACTATCTGTCTTCTCGGTCCAGAATGTGAACACTGGCATCCTTGACGGAATGCCCTTTCTCCTGTAGGTGTACAGCAGAGTGTATCAAGCACTCGACTACCATGACACGGACGACTGTGAACCGACACAGACTTCTTGGCACTCACGTCACACATTCGAGCTGCGATACTACAGTTCTTACTTAAAGACTCCTTTTTGACCTCTGCACATGTGCAAAGATGTATTTTTCTTTTTGTCATCACAATGAAAAATATGTTTTTAACTACTCATGTTTAACATTCATGAGTCAGCCACCAGCTTCACGGGTACGTAAGCCGCGGAAGTGCTCCAGCTAAGATTGCCAGTGCAGAAAATGAATGGGACCGCTACTTCCCAGAATCCTGGATGCCTGAAATAACCCCTCCTTCTCTATATCTCTATTGTGTGTGGTTCTCATTTGTCCTCTAAGTTCTTGCACAATCTCTATCTCTCTCCGTCTCTCGCTCTCTCACTCTCTCTCGTCTGATTGTCTCTCGCTCATTGATTTGTTTCTTGCCTGGCATAATGTCATTCAACCTTCACAACAGATGCATTGTTTGTCTTCCCTCAGTGGTGCTTTTCATCCGTCTCCCTCTTTCTTAGTCTCTCACTCTATTTTGCTCGCTCTCTCTTTCGCTCGCTCTCTCTCTCTCTGTCCTGCTCTCTCTCTCTCTCTTTGTCACTCCTTCCCTCTCTTTCTCCGCTCCGGATCGGCAGCAGTAAAAAGTAAGCCGCGTACGGACAGCTTCTCTTCTCGTCCAGTGCAACTCGTGCCTTCCTCTCTCCCTTCCCTCTCATCTCTGCCAGCACTTTGCGCTCTTTCTCTCCCCGTTTATCTTTTTCTTCTTCTTTGTTTCATCTTCTTCTTCTTCTTCTTCTTCATCATTTCCCTCTTCTCTGTCACTCTCTTGACTCTGCAGGGTGCCGTCACGAGTGATTTGTTTGATTCTCTTCTGGCTCTGCGGTCGAGGTGCGCGTGTGAATGTCCGCGTGGAGGAGAAAGTGAGTGTCTCGTCTTGTCCGGCTCTTTTGCATCATTGCGCGCATGTGTGAGTGCATGCTAAGAGCTGTGTGAGTGACTGTTTATAAAGAGAGAGAGAGAGAGAGAGGGGGAGAAAGCAAACTGAGGCTGCGCTCACTATGTTTATTGTGTGTGCGTGCGTGTATGTGACGAAACGTGGGGGCATGCTGAGCTGAGTACGACTGCGAGTGAGTGTGTGTGGGTTTTTTTTCCCCTTCTCTCTCTCTCTGTGTACATGTGTGTGTGCGCATCACGTCAGCTTGGCTGGGGTCTGGTCGGCTGGAGAGGGAGAGGGAGAGGGAGAACAATATGAGCGGGGTAGGGCAGTGCTAGCATGCGGACCAGGAGCAGGCTGCTGCAGACTTGTAGCAGTCTTAAGATGATGGCCATGGTCCGGACCTCCCTCCAGAAAGTGGTGGTCTTCTTACACAGGCTCCAGAGGATGGCCATCTCCTCGCCGCGCTACCAGAAACTCTGCAAGGTACGTGGAGACACGGAGCTGGAGAGCAGAGAGTTCATGTTTTTCTTTTTTCTATTTTTCTTTTCCTAATTTAATTGGATTTTCTTTTTAAACTTTTACGATTGCACTCGTATGTGTCATTTAAATGATTATTTTTTCGATTCTTTGGGATTTGTTTGGAGTCTGTATTTATCAGATGCTCGGTTTGTGCATCCCTGTCTGCAAGCAGCCATAAAGTTTGTGCTGCACATGTGTATGTGTATTTCCCCCACCCCCAGTGTAAATGCTCTTGCTTTTCAGAAATCTGGAGTTTATCACCAAGTTGCCCGTCTTTGCCTCATCCATAGCTTCTCCTCTATTTTTGGCCTTTTTATTCATGAGTCATTTGGTTGTCAAGACATTCTGTTCCTGCTGAAGTTGTTTTGAGGACTCCAGTCACCTCCACAGCCTGTCGTTTTAAATATATATGTGCATATATACATCAGCAGCTTTAGGAACTTTTGGTACGTCTTTCGCATATCAAAGAAGAATTCAAACTGTGCGTCCCTGCTGTAGAGTGAGGTTGTGTGTGCACGCTTTGTATTTTTGTCAGCTTTTAAAGTGAGTGCAGGCATACACAGGGATTGTGGTGAAGAGTGTGTTGTATTTGTTTTTTGGGTACACAACTATTTTTGCTTGTTTGTTTTTCAGAGACATTGTGACAGGTGGGACTGATGGGACGCTGTTCTGTAACCTAATTTAATTCGATCTCTTGATTAAAGTTTTTAGCTGATCTTATTATGTTGACACGACACACCGGTTAACAGGTTGGCGCCACACACACATTCATTCGAAAAGCGCATAAGAGAAACATGAGGAGAGTGTATTTGGTTAAAAAAAGAAAATCAAAGTCAGCTTTATTGATTTTACTTGAGAGAAAACGACCACTGATGTGCACCGGACTCGATGTCATTTTGTATCCCTGTTGATCATTATTGATCGCCGATCTTCATTGCTGTCTCTCTTGCGCTGCACAGCGCTGACCTGCTCTCGCTCAGAGGGTAAGGGTGGGGGTGGAGAGGGGAGACCAGCTGTTGAGATTTGACAGTACTGTGCGTGTGTGACTGTTGGAGAGCGACAGACTAATGCATCAGAACAGTTTTGGATTAGTTTCCAGCTGCAATCATGGCTCGACAAACATGTGGTGGCTCAGTTTAATCCATCCTGAAAATTCGTTACGCTTTAGGACTGCATGTTTTTTCCTTTTTTTTTCTTTTTTTTTCTACTCACCAAGTGTGTGGTTATTCATTCATTCATTCATTTATTTATTTATTTTGTCTCTACAGAAGAAAAGCCAAAAATTATCACGAGAAAGTCTATTTATATGTATATTTTCCCTGTTTTTTTTCTAGCCTGTCTTGTTTCTCTGGGAACAAAACAAGAAACAAAAAGCAATAGTGACGACTCAAGGATTAGACCTTGTTAAAAAATAAAAAAAAATTATGGGAGAGTGATAAACAGAGCATTAGGCATTCGGGATTAGGCATTTATTTCCTGCTCTTTCTCAGCTTATCTTGCAGATGCTTGACTTATGTTTGTTTGTTTTTAAACAGTTCTTGGCAAAAACAATTAAAACTAGATCTGTGGTAGCGAACATGCAGATAAATGCACAATCAACTCTACCCCTCTTTTTTTCTTTTTTTTTTTTAACTCCAGCAAATCCAAATCTTGAGTTGATTTGCTCTTTTGGCTCCATTAAGCACCCTTAAGGGGCCAGACCTTCGCTGGATTGTGTCCGTGCTGGACAGTGGGAGGAATCAGTCATTCCACAGCCGATTACCCTCCCCTGGGTTGCATCAGTCATTCCAGCTTCGTTTGGCCTTCCCTTGGGGGACTGTAATGCCAGGGTAGTCCTGCCTCCGTGGGGTGCGCTCACTGGCCGGCAGACTGGAACAATGACATCCTGATGATAGATTCGAAATGGGCTCACCCTCCGGCTCTGGTCATTCTTTCTTTTTTAGAGGCAGACCACGGCCTGTTTTATCGTCTGACACGCGTTATCAAGTGCAAAAATAATGGAAGCTGGTTCAATTAAACTGAATAATTGTAACATTTCTAATTATTCTCAGAGGAAATAATTGATTTCATATATTGTATTCCTTAGTTTCCTGAAGAACATGTTGTTTATGTTTTCGTACCACTCTTAAAATCGTAAGAAAAATAAATCCCACCTACACTTTCAATTTGATCACACTAACTCAAGTCAACAGTTCGTGTTTTCGTCTGACTCACTGTCACAAAGGCTGTTTTTTACCCTTGGAAAACCAATTAGACGGCAATATCAAGCTTACCTCTTGAAAAGCACGGACTTGCATCATGTTTGTCGTCACTACCTGGTAACAGAGTACCAGTGCAGGGCAGGGTGACCACTGACTCACTGTGCTGTGATGGATGGGAAGAGTATGAAATGTACTGAGTCATATCTTTTTATCTGTTAATCATATTTTTCTGGGAGCTTTTGGGTTTATGCAGAGCACCAGTTATTTTGATGTATAATAGCGAGCTTAGTGGTGTTTGCAAGCGGCAGCCATTTAACGTTTTTAAAATTTCATCTGTTATTTGGAGAGTAAATTATCTTTCCCAGTTCAAAGCAATAATATTTAATAAGGTTGCATGCTCTGAGAAATTTTATTTAATCTATACGGCGTTCCCCTGAGGCTGCATTCGATGCATTCATTCTGTACTCATTAAAAACATCGGCTAAATGCCTTAAATGTAAATGCGAGCTTCGGTGCATCCCGATTGTTCCTCTTCACCGGCCTTTCACCTGGCGCTCTCGCTCTATAGCGTTCTCTCTTGAAAATTGCTTGCAAGCATGTGACATATAGTTTACTGGTGAATAGAAGCTCTGAGTGGCATGCCTGGTTCATTTATAGTGAGGCATACAGAGGGGCCCTTGTGGCTCATTTCATCTCCTCACTTTTCTGCGCTCTGTCTCTCCGTGTGTAATCTCTAGCTGAGAATTGGGTGAAGGGCCCACCTCTCTCCAGAGGAGCGTCCTCCTACTCTCATTACTGTAGCGTTGGCTGCTATTTTGTGTGTGCGTGTGTCTGTGTTAAACCAAAGCCTACTTTAGAAACAGCCCAAAAGCAGCAATAATGTGCAGTCATGCCTTGTCTGTCTCTGTTTCTCTGGCAAATGCTTTGGCCTTTGGGCTCCACACTCGATCCACCTTTGCTCCTGGCTCACTGCTACCCCAGGACAGGTGACTCAGGCGTGGGCATGGAGCCCAGCTGTCTGACCTCCCTGTCCTTGAGCTCCACAGGGGTCCTATGGGTTATTAGGCAAGTGTTAGCATTAGCAGTTAGAGCCTCAGGTGTAGTCAGATTACACCCCACCCCCCACAATCCTCTCCCCCCAGTAACCTGGCTCACGCTCAGATTGTGGATAATTTATTTCTTTATTTTTTTTCATGCATCCTTAGACACAGTTAGCTTACGGACACTCATGCATTCAGTTCTCCAACACATATGTGGATGAACACGTTTAAAATACAAGCATACCCACACACTCGCTCACTCCTCAGCTCCTCTGTGAGTGATGAGTCACAGGCGGGAGATTTATGTGGTAACAGATTCATAAATGCAGGTCATTTAAATTCATCAAGACCGTATTGGGAACGAGCAGGGACAATAAAAGAAAATGAAGATGGGTTTTTCCTCTCCCAATCAACATTACATGTAAATCACCACAGATGGACTTTCTATTGGGAGTGGACTGAGGTGAAATAGCACTTAAATCACTGATACAGCCCCGAGTTAAGCTGCTCTCCTTTTCTCGATTGCCATTACGGCAGAAAGTGACCGTTCCATTATGATAAGATGAGACGAAGAGGACAGAAAAACTGGTCTTGAGATTGAAAATCAACACCCCAGGATTAGATGGAATCCACATTATACTATATTTGCTTCAAATATAAACAGAGAAAAGGAGGGGGGGGGAAGTCCCTCAACCTCCTCGCCTTTCTCCTCCCTTTGTCTACATCCCATTTTGTCTCTCGCACATCCAGTAAACCCATTTATCGAGCCAGTAATGCACGCGTGTGTCCGGTTTGTGTTTATGTGCACTTCCATTAGTGGCTTTCAGGCACTTCCTAACACCAAGCTAAAGCTACTAATGCCTGTGTAGTTTGTCATCACGTATCCTTTATGGTGCTGGAAAGCTCTGTATTCACCCAGCACTTCAACATGTGATATCCAGAGTAAATAACGAGGAAGAAAGGGAAAGATATTGATGGAGAGATGTGCGCAATTACCTCTGTAACTGTGTACTGGTTAACTGTCGTGATCAGTTTTCAAAGGAGTTGTTTTTCTCTTGTGATGACTGCATCTTTGCACTGAGGCTGGAAACGGGAGGAAAAATAGCTTAAACATGAGAAGCACCTACAAAATTCACTCTTAAAAAACAGAGAGAGAGGTATTTAGGTATTGTGTAAGTCCTAAAGGGACAATGCACATTAGTTAGCATGAGTACTTGGACCCATCATTTTGTCATAGCATGAATAATTATTAAAAGGAATCGCTGATACAAAAGCATCAAAGCCCAGTTAAAAGTCAATAAATTAAACACACCGAGCACAGAACAATGACATAAGCATGTGACATATAACAGAAAAATCTGAACTAACATTACATTTTAATGTCCAAGTTACTAACAACTTGATCATATTTTTCCCAGTTTAACAAAATCACATTTTAAAGTCTTGATACAAATTTGATCTAATGTTTCTACAGTCTTTTTTCCCCACTTGTCTGTCCAGCTATTAAGAAAGTAGATGATGTGATAGATCTGAGGTCCAGTACTCAGGTTTACTGGAGGACATGTTTGTTTTCAGACAGCAGACTTGGCCAAAACTCACTAGCCCACCTGACACCGTGATCTATGGCCAGCCCAGACATGGCCTGAGCCGAATCACGGCAAGCAGAGGGAGAGATAGAGATCTCAAGGTTTTTGCCTTTTCATTGCTCTCCCTTATGGCATGG